ATCCCCTCACTGTACCCAAGGTTGCAGATTAATTACTCCCAAAATAAAACGGATTAACTTGTTAAAGAAGTAGCGGTACCTCAAACTTCAATAACTTCAGCGAACGCAAGAACAGCAACAAGAGCACACATAGACTTAGTCGATCGACAATTTTATTTATGCAAGAAAATGTATGCAAAGAGGAAAAAAATTTCAGTGTTTGAAAAAACGAAAAAAGACCTCTTATTTATAGCCATTTGCAGCAAGGAACACGTCTGTTCCGTTTTTTCCAAAACATTGTGTCTTTTGGGAAATGTAACGATTTTTCGAAAGGATTACCGTTTGGGAAAAGTAACGACTTTTCGGAAAGTAATGACTTTTCGGAAGGATTACCGTTACACGTGAATTTCAAATAAATTCAGTTGCGCCAAATTAATTCTGTTAGTTAACTAACATTCTGAATTAATTTATAAGAAAAAGGAAATGATTTAACAAGATTGATTAAATAAATTCTGTCCAAAAAATATTATCAATCAAATCCGAAGCCGAAGCCGAGGCCGAGCGACGGCGGCGGCTCGAGGGGCACCTTCTTCTTAACCCTTTAAGAACTAAAGGAAGTGTTTCCTAATATAAGGACAACAATTTTCTCTCTTCTACCAATATGGTAAAAATGACTATTCATTTGCACTTTTGCAATGACTTTTCATTTTTCCTCCAAAATTGGTTCCCCCATTTTCATTGGTTCTTCCACTTTTCATTTTCTCTTTTTATTTTCCATTCACACCTTGCTAAACCCAACAAATTCAACAACAAAAAATATGTGAGGATTACTCAAAATCATATAACCTAAAGACATGTTGGAGACAAACATGTGTTTAACTCAATGTTGACAGTATAATTAGATAGAGACTCAACAGAAAATGAAAATAAACCTTATTTCAATATACAATAAAGAATATAGTTTTAACATAACAAATTCAGAAATTACTTTGAGGTAAAAATTACCGAAAACTTGGATCGTAGAACTCAATGTTGCAAATAAAATAAAATTTGGGAAATTTAGTTATAGAAGAAGATAATGGGAAAAGGAGAGTACAACCCAACAGGCATGCCAAACAGCTGGGCATTAGGTAGTAGGTACGACGTACGAGTAACAGAAACGGATACGCAGATCTTTTCCATTTACTAATTTGCTCTCTGTCCCCAACCCCCGCTCACTGCCTGCTACTCTCTTTATTTCATATTAAATTAATTTTTAAGGTATTTTACCCCCTTTAAAAAAATTAGATTAAGACATAAATTAAATTTAGTTTTTTTATTTTTATCCTTATTAATTATTGTTAAATCTATGATCAAAATAACTAAATATTAATTAATCACTAATTTCAATACTAACTAATAAAGGATAAAATTGGAAGAACACTCTAAAAGTAGTCTTGAAAATTAAACAATTAAGTTAATTTGAAAAATGAAAAAATGTCTCAAAAATTAACTTAATATGAAATGGAGGGAGTATTATATATCGATAAACCTTTCAAAATCCAAATCTGTTAAACTAATCCCGTTTGGATTGATTTTTTTTAAAAAATAAGTTAAAAATAATAAATCAAATTTCAATGACTGTTAAGTTAAAAAATAAAAAAGTAGGGAGATCTATTTTTAATTTTTGACTTATTTTAAGTCATTTTTAACTTATTATAAGGTATTTTTTTATATTTATCAAACACATTGAGGGAATTTTTTTTGTCCCATATTAATTAATCATATTTTTACGATGCATATGAAATCATTAGTTAAATTATTATTTTCTATTTTATTATTAACATACTTCTTGAAATTTTGTCAATCAAATACAAATACTTTCAAAAAGAATTTACGGCAGGAATAATATAGAAAAAAATTATTCATTTTTAATCTTGTAAGTGGATAACTTATATAATATGACAATTTTGAATACAGTTATTTATCAACTAATATGAGATGAAGAGAGTAATAATATTCCGTTTGAGTATTGACAATAAAATCTAGGGAGGCTCTATAATGGAGTAGTAATTTAAATAAAAGGAAAGTGGATGAGAAGGGAAGGAAGGTCTGTAGGAAAGTGAGTAGCGTTTTTTGGGATGCGTGTAGGAGAGCGTGGGTTACCTGATCCGTACAGGTAAGCTTTATGCGGAAACCACGGTTTCATGTACTTCTATAAACCAACTACTATTAGTAATATTTTCTGCTCCCTTCCGTCTTAAAATTATTTTTACTGTAGTTTTCAGAGTAATTTAAAGGTTGCAAAAATCTTCGGTTTAAATGAGCTAAAAATTGAATTGGATCATAATTAGTTCAATTTGATTCACTTAATATTAATAATTTTAATATATTATTATTTACTTTTTATTATCACTATTTTAATTTCAACTCAAGCAAATAAAAAAAGAAGTTACAGATGTATAGATAAATCTTAGAAGATATAAATAGATTGTAATTTATACTCACTCTGTCTCTAATTACTTGTCCACTTCTTCTATGTTAGTTGTCCCTAATTACTTGTCTATTTTAACAAATTAGGAAAAGACAATTTTTTTACATATTATATCCTCAATTAATTACTTTGAAAAATGTATAATTTTTTGAAAATCTCAAGTTTTTAATTCATGCACTTTATATTTAATAAGAGTAAAATGGTAAACTCACTATGTCAATTATTGTTTTCTTAATAAGTGTGTCAATTCAAAGTGAACAAATAATTATGGTCAGAGGGAGTATCTTCAATATGTGAACAAACATTAAATCTATACAAATAAATAGTTTTAAAACGTGTTGAAATTGGAGATTAAATTGGAGTCAGTTAGATATTTCTTAAAAATTAGTTAAAGCTGGAATAAATTAGGATTTAACTCAATTCAAATTATTTTGAGTCAAACCATAAATTTCTAAGCGGGTTATCTGTATTTTGACTCGTTTTAACCTCCCTAATTAGGGGCGAGCATGATATGATATATAACAAATTAACATATCATATCAATTTTTGATACCCTAAATTTCGGATTATGGTATTTTGTAAGCTATATGAAATATTGAATACCATGTCGAAGTATATATATATGGGAAAAAGGACAATACATCCTCGAATTATTGTAAATGGTATATGGGAAAAAAATAATACTTTTGGGGCATTGGTGTCACTACCGTCCAAAAACTAGAGCATATATGACATTCACTATAAAATAATAACAAATATGCAACCCAGTATTACTATAATTATGTTTCGAAGTTAATACTCTACTCTCTTTTCTTAAATGTTTGTTTGACAAAAAGAGTTGTTTGTACACTCTTTTGAAAATATATTTCTACTAGTGTAATGTGGTAGTATGAATAATTTGAGATCATTTTTTAAATTGTCAAAGTCAAAATTTTCTATTTTACAAGTATATATTAGTAGAAGTTGTGCAAAATATTATTATCAATTTATCATACTTCAAGATATCAAAATCAATCTTCAAATAACCAAACCATATCAATTAAATTGATATGATAATGATATACTAGCTAAAAGAATCAAATATCGAAATTACAATACCATATCCTATCATGCTAATGCCTACCCCTAGTAATGTACCGTAGTTTCATATAATTTCTTTTACACGCAAATCAAATTAGTTATAATTAGAACAAAATATTTCTTCCTTCAAATTCATTATACTAGAGGTTGATTCAACATGAGATTTATAGTTCTTTTTATCAATTTTGTGACTTTAAATTCGTCATGTCCATTTATATTGGTTAAAATAATTATTGTGAAACTAAATTACTGTAATATGTAAGAAAATATAATTTTTATGAATGATGAATAAAACATTTAACAGAAAATAGAACATTTTAACAACAACTTTTTTTTTTCTTGATAGATGAAAAATGAAATGAATTAAAATAAAGGAGAGGCGGTGACTGATGAACGGGTTATAGCAGGTCATTGTTGTGATAAGCGTCGAGACAAAAGCCGTTGGAGCTGCAATTAGAAATGATGGGATGTATGGTGTATATTCAAAGAAGTTGAAGGACTTAAAAAATAATATAAATAAAGAAGACAGGCTGGACTGACAGGATTGTAGTAATGATTCTCCTTCCGATTCGGCGACCGAACTTGTCGTTTTGTGCCAGGTCATCACGTCCGTGCGGCCGTTTCATTTTCAGGAGGTTACATTACAAATAAATACTATAAATAAAAAAGAAAAAAAGGAGTGGGTAGATAAATATCCCATCCCCATAAAATAAAAATAATAATAAAGTTTTATGCTCTCCAGCCTGTCAACTGCAACTTCTGCTTTCCTTTCAGTCAAAGCTGATGGCCTCTTTCTTTCTCCTTTCAATCATCTCCTCAACCGTTACCCTAATCTCTCTCTTCCACTCAACCCCATACTTAAAATTAATCTTAAATTTAACTATGACTCATCATTTCAGTTATAACTTTCTTCCTTTATTCAATAATTACTCCTATGCAGTTAGATTAATTTAACTAATACATCTATCAGATTATTTAATATTTTTTTTAATGAACGTGATGTTCGATTTATTTTTCCTAGTATGAAAAATAAACAAACATGAGAATACGTTACATTTATAAGTTTTTTTTTCTTTTAGAACGAAACAAATTTTCTTTAGGTACGTATGTGAGTGGAAAAGAGGAAAATGAAAATTTTAAAAAAGAAGAGTAATGCACACGCAGCTTATTATGAAAAAAAAAGAAAGGAGGAGGAACAGTCTTGCTAAAACTGAAAACAGGAGCCTACACCACTCCATCTGTTATTGTGTAAATCAGTGTATCTTTCTTTATGACGCGTGTCCCGTTTACAGCTGTATTCCATCTCTTATAATCAACCGCTTTCCCTATCTTCCCCTTTTTTATTTTAAATATTAATCGGTGCCCATAACGCTTACAACTCCTTTTCACTCACCGGCTTAACCGGTCGTCCCTTTTTCCCCTTATATTACCTTCTTCTCCTCTCTTCCATATATAAATCTCCTCTTCTTCACGTTTCCTCTTCTAAAAAAATAAATATAGAGAGAAAAACAAAAACAAAAAATGGCGAGTTCTAAGAGAGATATGGATCGGGTTAAAGGTCCATGGAGCCCTGAAGAAGATGAGCTTTTACAGCAACTTGTTCAGAAACATGGCCCCAGAAATTGGTCTCTAATAAGCAAATCGATTCCTGGGAGATCCGGCAAATCTTGCCGGTTGCGGTGGTGTAATCAGTTATCTCCACAGGTGGAGCATCGGGCTTTTACGCCTGAAGAAGATGAGACTATTATTCGGGCCCATGCCCGATTCGGTAACAAATGGGCTACTATAGCCCGACTTCTTAATGGGAGGACTGATAACGCTATTAAGAATCACTGGAACTCTACCTTGAAGAGGAAGTGTTCATCGCTTAGTGCCGATGAAGGGAACGAACTCGCCGATCAAATTTTTGAAAATCAGCAGCCGCCGTTGAAGAGATCTGTTAGTGCCGGATCCGCTATGCCGGTTTCGGGTTTTCATTTCAGTCCAGGTAGCCCATCGGGTTCGGATAGTGATTCGAGTCTTCATGTTACGTCGTCGTCTCAATCTCATGTGTTTAAGCCTGTTGCTAGAACCGGCGGCGTATTCCCGCAGTCGATCGATATCTCATCTCCGCCTGTTGATCCTCCCACCTCCCTAAGCCTTTCGCTTCCTGGTGTTGACTTGGCTGAGTTCTCTAATCGTTCGGCCGATTCGACTCAGTCGAAAAATCCTTTTCAGTTGCTGCTTCCACCGATGCAGATTCCCCCACCGCCGCCACCACCACCACCACCGCCGCCGCAGGCAACGACGGTACCTTTCGAACGAGTTTCTGCAATTCAACAGTCTCTTCAGAACCCTGATTTCGGGAAGAACGCAGGAGGAGAACAGCCAGACAAGGTATTTGTGCCGTTTAGCCAGGAGTTGTTAGGGGTGATGCAGGAGATGATAAAGACGGAGGTGAGGAACTATATGATGGGAGTTGAACAAAAGCAGCAGTTTCAGCAGCAGCAGCAGCATTATCAACAACAACCGCAGCAGTTTCAGCAACAAAACCATCAATTGCCAAGTGGTTTAGGGCTTGGATTGTGTATGCAACAAGCTTCTGATGGATTCAGGGATAGAGCTGCTAATCGCATGAGACTAAGCAAATTCGATTAGTGAAACGGAGAAAGAAACCGCCTTTGTTTCATTCTCTCTTTGTTTTTAGGGCACATGTTGTTAGCTCTTTAAGCTTCAACTGTGGAATCGTCAAAAGAAGAAAATAGTTTTCGGTGGAGTATTGTACAGGGCGAGGGAGAGTTTATAAAATCATGTTCCATTGATGGCAGAAATGCAAAGCTGGGACTAATAAGAAAAAAAATAAATACTAAAAGATATAAAAAAAGAAGAAGGCGTTTTGTTAATTTATATGCAGGCAGATTTAGAAACCAAGAAAAATTTAGCTTTAAGTAAATATGTTCTGAGAAAACATCTACCGCCAAAGCAAGGAAGGATTTGAATGAAGCAAAGTTATTAACTTTATTATTTTCTGAAGTTATTTAGTAGTATCTTTTTCCCTATTCAAATTTTGGGTGTGTTATAATTTGACCTGAAAGTTTGAAAACCTGAATAGGAGAGGTACGGAATGTATGCACCAAAAAAATAGTTCAACTCTAATTTTTTAATCAATAAAAAGATTAAGTTGATCATTCTTTCTTCGTTTTTAGTTCCGTGTAATATGTGAACACTAAAAAAGGCGTTCAGTTCAACTGCGTAATTGTAACTGAAATTGAACAATTGACCATGTTATTCGGATAGAAAGATGAGACCAGAAATTCGTTTTAAGGAAAACTTGTAGAATTGTTGTACACAAGACGAGAAAAATATCGTGTGCAATTTGGTTGTTCCCTAACGTCCTGCATTAAAATGCTATACTGGTGACTTCAACAGACCACTTATTTACAGTAAAGTTTCAATACAGCCTAACTTATATCATGGAAAGTTCAGACCAGAAACATGGGACAGGAATATACACATGACTGAATTGGGCTTCAAGCCTCAACCAGACGATCTACTTGATGAGGCAATTCAACATGCTAGGTGCAGTGTTCTTCACATCTTGAATCCTCGTTTTGTTCGACAAGAAGAAACTATTCATTCCGTCGCAACTGGGAGGTGAGCAGCTAAAGGGCAAGTCAATAATCACAAATGAGCTGCCTGAATGGTGCTAGGTAGTGTGCCATGCCTCAAAAACATAACTAGAGAACGCATTCTATCAATGATTTGTGAAATATCCTCCCTCCATGACCATGTTGGAGGGTTTAGCGCACGTACGGAATTGAGACAAACAAGAAGTGTGCCACCTTCATGCAAGAGCACCTGCAATGTGGACATACCAGCTTAGATGAATTTACTAAGGTAGCACCCCAAGCTAGGGAGGAAAACAGTCTCATTTTCCATAGCAGCAATTCTGCGGAAGACTGTTAATCCTAACTATTCTTTGTCCAAGAACAACAGGGATTGGACCATTAGATGTAAGAAAATTTTCACAATAGGTAAACTTGTGTTGCACCTAATAGCTGCTCATAGACTAACAGTAGCAAACTGGGCAGATATACTGATTGATTGAAACAAGATGGATAAATTTAAGGTGAGAAATATCTGGAATAGAGTCATACCGTCAACCAGAGTGGTAGGAACCCCATAACTGATGTAAGAGATGCCAAAATAATGCTACACAAAGCTAGTACTACATTTTGCTTGATCTGTAAGAATAAGGGCCGAGTATCAGTTGCAAAAAGAAAAGATACATGTTGATTACAGAGAAGGAAAAGGAAATACCAAGGATGTTGTTTGGCGAGATTTTGCAACACAAAATGGGACACCAGAAATATTGTCTTGCAACAACAGTACATCAGCAACAGCTATGGCAGCGGCACTAGCTCGCTCAGCCAGTACAATACCAACAGTAGCTGCAGCAAGTGCTGGGGCATCATTGATGCCGTCACCTACCATTATAAGGCCTCCTGCTCAAAAGTATAGTAATTGGTTAGCTAGGATGGAGGGGACACATGTATTACTGTGAAAAGTTCTAGTTGATTAGCATCTACTCAAGTTTTCACCCAATACATCCACATTTCTGGGACCCTAAAGTTGAGAAAAATGAGAATTATGACTAGGATTATCCTATTTGTGACTTCTCCTGGTTGCCATGAACAGAATAACTCGGAAAGTATGTATCATTTCATCCAGTTTCACCCGTGATGTTTTAAAAATATACGTAAGCTGTACGGCTTAAAAAGAGGCAAGCGATACCTCATTGCATGGAACCACCAGACACACAGATAGTTCCTGGTTCATAGAACATATATCAACTTTAAAGAGCAGTCAGCCACAGCTGCCCAATCTATGTATTAATTTAATCTGATAAGTTTTTGATAAGTTGTTACTTAGCATGAGTACTAAGATGTGAATTAAATATGAACATGAACTAGTTAAGTGAAAAAGGTGTGGTTCCCAAATAACTTTTTTGTTTAGAATTTGGAAATTTAAATGGGTCTGAAAAACATGAAGCAAGGACCTCTCCTTGCCAGCTTTTGTGACTCACCTGTATCCCTTGAGATGCTTGTAACATGATAAAGTTTATCCTCTGGCTTTAGGCTGCAGTTAACTTCTTTGATGCCCACTGTTTTAGCAACTCTCCTTGCACTTGCCTCATGGTCACCAGTTAACATTATGACACGAAGTTTAGCTTGATTCTGCAATGTCTGTACGACGTCTAGAACTCCAGGTCGAGGTTTATCCTCAAAGTGAAAAAGAGTTACCTGGTACCAACACAAAGTCAGCAAAATAAGCGCACTAGGCATTGAGAGAGAAGCTTGAGGGAAATTTCTAACAAGAGAAGTATTAGATATTTCTACATAAGAACTCTTAAAATCCAGTAAGCCGACATTTGATTTGATTGCAAAGACATCTCAATACCCAATTATTAGGGAAATGTTGTTTCATTACTTAGACGCCTTGATATCTTAATGCTTAAAAGTTAAACAGGTTAGCTTCTGGCTCAAACACACAGCTTTTTATATATTTTCCACTTTTTGATTCAGCTGCTTTCTTCAATTTTTATGATTTTTCTCATACTGATTTCCAATTTTGTATAAGAAATCTAGGAAATACACCAAGTAAAATAAGAAGTATCGAGTAGGAGACGAGTATGAGAAAAGTGCTAATGGGAGACAAGTTGACATGGGAGATGTGCATCAAAGGTAGAACCAGGATTTGATGTCTCTGGATTCAGGATTCTGGTTCTTTTAAGTTACTGGGTTCTAAATTGATAAATTGTACATATCCAAGACAAAAACAAAGTTTGGACCAAAGTTACAGGTTCGAGCGAACCCGTAACCAACACATTGGCTCCGTCCCTGTGGGTTATCCACTCAACTGAGGCCAGTCTTTGGGTGTTTAGCCTGTGCTTCATGGAGTCAATCTCTCCTTTGGTTCCACTAGGCTATATGGGATATTGCTGGAATTGTTTTACTGCTTCATACTTTTGTCATGTGATCATTCAAATGCACAACCATATTTACTCCAGAAAGTGCACAAAAATGGAAAGCAGGATCGAGTATACTTAACATAGCAAGCATTATTAATACAAGCAAGAAAATCCTTTACTCTTACAAGAAGTGTATTTAATAGTTTTTCCAATTCAATTTTATGTGCATTATTGAGTTGCTGCTGTTCAGTTTTTATCTTCTGAGAGTTTTTCATTCCAAGGTTAATTTATAACAAGTTGCTGTAAATTTCAGGGTGTATTTGAGAGAAATTTGTGGTCAAATAGATATATTAATCCCAAAGACGCCTTTCCACAAAATTTTAGTCCAACGTTTGTTCCATCAATATAAATGGGATAAACTAGTGTAGAATTCATAACTATAAGCTACAGAATCACAACCCACCAAATACATGTGTCACCCCAACTGTCCTTTTAAAATTAACATGCTAAGGATCATTTTGATTCTGACAAATGAATGGTAATATCAAATCATCCTGTAACGGTATGAAGTACAAGTAGCTTATTGCATCCAATTAAAAGAAACTGAGAAAATGAAAACCCTCAAAAGCTAATGTAGATTTCTGAATTCTTAATACTCATAAGTAACAACTGACCTTTTGATTATTAACCGAGAGAGCAGCACGGACAAAATCAACTCCATGAGATGACGTGTTTACTGCCTCCTCAACTCTTCTTGATTCATCTTCAGAGTCGCAAAGTGAGGTGATGTATTCCACAGAACCAAGAAAAGCTTTCCATGGTTTACCACCTCCTAGTCGTGGCTACAGGACAGATACAGGAAACAATTAAGTTTTTTCAAATTGGATAAAGTAATAGCAAATTTTAAGTAAAGAAGAAAAGCTGGGCACAGATAAAAAGAAAGGAGTGTGACCTTCTCAAAAAGAATTGCAGAATGCAGATAACAGAAATATGAAATATCAATAGGCCCATGTGGTGTTCATCTATATTGTTTGCTTAAAGTTTCGAACAATTAATGAAACGAAAAAAGTAATGAATGGAAAAAATTAGAATTAATAGTGAGCAGATACGAAAAAGAATACCTCAAAGCTCGATAATGTTGCAATTATGCCTCTACCAGGTAAATTCTCAAAACTTTCAACTGAAATTGAAGGAAGGTCTTTGCCTGCGCTATGATCTACGACAGCTCTGCATGAATGAAGAAGCAAAGAGGATTAGACTCACTAAAAGGTAACACTACATAATCGTAACATTAGAAAGGTGTAGGCGAGCATTGAAGATTCATGTATACAGAGACATATCAAACAAATAAACAGATAAATGAGATCACGAATAAATAAATATATAGAGGCTTATCATTCATAACACCTTCCAATTGGGTGAGTTGTACCCCTCTCCATTGCAGCTGCAACAGCAAGTGCTTCTTTCTCACAACTGGGGTTACAACAAGAAGCAAATCCTTTTCCAACACTCTTAGCATGTCCATGTATCGGTTCAATTGCTTTGCACATGAACTCCCCTGTTGTCAATGTACCAGTTTTGTCAAATGCAATACTATGGCATGAAGCCAAGGCATCAAGCACCTGTCCACCTTTAAGCAATATGCCCTAAAAAGAAAATTCACCGCATCACAACCTGTGAACAGAAATGGCTGAGCCTGAAACAACATATGATAATATCACTCTGCTCAGATCCTGGTAATAACATTTATAATAATGAAAATATTATGAGAATTATACAGGTTACCATAATAAGAACAATATTTAGAAACGATGCTGCTCAGAACTGTCAGTAACATTTATAATAGTATATGATGAGTAAAATTCAAACATACTGCATGACTATGATGAGGTATTATACAAGTTTGCCATAATTAGGAAAATATTGAAAGAAAGACTGGTGAAAAGGATTTGACACCACAAGGTTAATTAGTAGACTGTCTTCCAATTTGGAAAGATACCCTTTTTGCACAAGCACTGATGGCAGTTGCGTAAGCCAATGGCGCCACAGCTAATGCACAAGGTGATGCAGCTACCATGAGGCCCAATGCTCGGTAAATTGATCCTCTGCAAGCTGGAAAAAAGAAAGAAAAGAAAATACCAGGTAACCAATCGGTACAGAGATAATATGATGAAATGGATACATCCATATAGAAACATCCTGCTTACAAATCATAAAAATAAGTTCTACTTGATAGTAGGTAACAGTTCTTTTAACCCATTTAACACCTAAAAACATATGTATTAAAATCCCCCCTTCTTCATTGGAATGTCTGTCTAGTAATGCAAGAAAGACTGATGCAGATAGCAACAACTAAACACAAATAAAGAAGTATATGCAAAATAAGACTTCTAAAAGTACCTGTAGTACTAAAGAAAGGCCATTTGAAAAGGAATGGACCAAGAAAAGCAACTGCTAGAGATAATAACACAACTGCTTTACTGTACTGCTCGCCAAACTTATCAAGCCATCTTTGGAGTCTTGGTTTACTTAGCTGAGCCTCTTCTGTCAGCTGCACAATTCTGCTAAGCATGGACTCTTTCCATGTCTTCTTTGCCTATAAAAAAAATAAAGGTCACAAAAGACTTAAGCAGACCAATTAAACTGGGTGGTTTTTAAATAACAGTGCTCTAGTTCAAAACCCCTTAATTAACTGTTTAACATTGTTTATTAAAATAGGACCTTAACTATGAGGTACCCACTTCATGGTGCGACTCTGAAGTCGCTTTCTTGGATAAGTTTTCAAACTTTTGGGACTGAAAAAATCTTATGGTTGTAGATAATAATCGCTGGTTGATTTAGGGAGTCTAGAGTGACATCCCTTTGGATTTCCAAATCTGGCAGTTCTAGAATCTATTTAATCAAGGAAGTCGCTTAATGGATAATCAGTTTAAAACTCACTTATCCATTAAAAACTTTATATCATAATGCACAATAATTCCTTATTGCAGCAATTCCTACTCCATCCCTTGTATTCAAGCTTCTCTCAGGACAGATGGGAAGAAATGGATGTCTGGAATACAAGTTCATCAGACACATGTCACAAACTTCATTATGGAATTTCTCCGAGGGAAGATAGCAAACACCATTTTTTATCTGAATACTCCACAACTGAAATTATCCCTAAATGTTGTAAAATAAGTTATTAGCAGTAGAACCCCGGTACCCTACCACTCTTACATTATCTTGCAATGATTTTTCCAAAACTAACCACCCACATAATCAAAAAGTGTCCAAGGCCTATTGTTTAGTAATGCATAAGCTATTACAGACCTCAAACTACTTTTCAGAAATTAACTAACAAGGCAAACTAGTTTCTATATCACAGGCACAAGATAAAGGAACTACTCTTCTTCTTCTTATTTTTCTTCTCTCTTTTTATAAATCATTCTGATAGAGTGATAGTGGACTCAGGATTATGCAAAAAACATGGAGCAGAATGCAAATGTAAAAGGCTAGTCCATAATAGAGTCAAAGAATAAACACAAAGAAATATTTTAATCAAAACAACAGAATCGTCTGACAATTTTTGTGGGAAATTCTAAGATAGACAAATCCCTCTCTTCCCCCAAAGCAAAGGGGAAAATAAGAGATATTTGTCTTCTTTTAGTTCAATCTTGGCTACAATCTGATAATTTTCTGAACTTGTTTAAACTTAAATCAATTCAAAGCAATCCAACTAATGGAATATTGAAGGGCGCACCTTCACTATCAACATACCGTCCAGGTTTCGCGCACCTCCTGGAATATTGTCCCCTTCTTTCTTATCTAAAGGTTTGACTTCTCCCGTCAAATGTTCAATAGTAATTGTTGATCTACCTCGGGAAACTTCACAGTCCACTGGTACTGACTGATCAAAGCAACAGGAAGAGTAAGACAATTATAGAAGCTAACCATAATAAAAGGGTTGGAGCACAAAATGTAGTAATGTACAATTAAAAATCCAGAATTATGGGAACCAGATACTAATCGTATGAACAAAATTTGATCATGGAAAAAAACATAATTAACTTTTTCCATGATTGAAATAGAAAGAATGCTTCAAACAGTAGAAAAATAAAATATATATATATTAGGGAGTGGTCTTTCCCTGCTTAGAGTCAGTATGAGACAAAGTAACTAATGATCCCCTCCAAGTTTGAAATTACGAACCTAGATGTTGCAATCTCTGAGTTCAACAGGAGTTAGTCCTTATATTCTTATAATTCCAGCTGCCAAGTCATTCTTATAAATTGATGTTAACTTTGAGATAAAATCAACTTTTAATAACCTTCCAAGGTTTAACTATTGGTATGTCTAGTATAGATAATAGATGATTGGGTGACTATTGTAGAGAACTATGTTTTACCGTACGCTCTCTATGTATTGGCATGCTGCTCATATATGGGAATTTCCCTAACATCAATAAAACTATTTACCGTATCACAAAAAATTATTGGTATGTCTTGTATTGCAAATCATAGAAGTCGTCAGATCAGACATATTGAGAACTTGGAATCCTACATAAGATACATAACTCAGTGCTATTTATTCTGTCACTTCATCAGCCCAAATAGAAAGTGCAAGCTATACAAACAATCTACGATCTAAGTTTTCGTAGGAATAAATTGCACAGATGTGAACATAACATCTAGGGAGTTGTTGGGTATGAAGGAAAATGCTTTCCTAGAAAATGTTTTCTTGGGAAACAAGTGAATTTCTTACTTATTAAGCAAAAAAATAATTATTTCAAGAGCATTGATATATCAAAACACTATGGAGGTGG